CGGGGGTGGGAGCCGGTCCCCATCAGAAAGGGCCCGGCCCAGGTCCCTGGGGCTAGCACAGCTCCCCTGAGCCCGGGTCGTGGTGCGGGGCCCGAGGGCTGCTGGACCCTCAGGACCTGCACGGGCGCGTGCGGAGCCGCTGCCGAGCCCCTTCGCACCAGGCGCCTGCTGCTCGGGGACTGGGACCCCCAGGATAGGAGTAATGGAGAGAGTAATAACAGTGGTGAGGGTGATTAAGATGATAAAATGCTAACGTGATAAAAGTGATGATAAAAGCAATTAGTGCTTGTTGAGACAGCGATGGGAACAGGTGTCAGCTCTGTGGCAATTCATTTTAGGCCACGGGGAGGAAAGCAATGGCTCCAAAGTGAAGTGCTGGGGTTGTCTGCCTCTGACAAACTCCTCCACAGAGGATGGAGGTCCCAGTCCTCCAGGCCTAAAGGTTTCTGATGGGTATGTCAGCCTGGCAAAGGGTACAAACTTCCTGTTTCATGGTCAGCCTGAACCTTTGTCACTGTATTTTCCCATCCACCTCTTGAAGATGCAGGGTGTTGACTGGGGGAGCTGCTGGGACAGGCAGGATGTAAGTGGGTGATTCCCAGGTCTCTCTCCCCCTAGGGTGCCTATCCTGCACATCCCCCGTCCCTGGGAGAGAGCAGAGGACCCGGTGTCTGCCAAGCCAGCTGGTGACAAAGGCTTCGACAACCCCATGTTTGATGTGGTGAGTGGCCACTGCCCAGGAGCACAGGGATGCTCGGGGCTGTGGGCAAGAGATGGTGGAGCCCCAGCCAGGACCCTCTCGAGTGCCAGTGGGGCTGCAATGCAAGATGCAATGCATCTGGCAGGAGTCTTCCTCTCCCCAGGCCAGGAGGGGTTTATGGGGTGGCGCCACCCTCCCATGGGGAGCCATAGGGACTCAGTGTTGGGTGGGTTTTACCAAGGGTTTTGCTTCTCTTCCTCATCAGTTGCTTTTCCCTCCCTTGCTGCTGCAGGAGCCACCAAGTGTTGACCCTGGAGAGGAGACACCTCCCAAAGACCACCAGGTCTTCTACATCAATCCTCTATATGAACCAAGCAAGATGGAGGCTTGACAGCAAGGTCTCATGCTGGGGACAGCCACCACCTCCCTGGGTGAGCCACCACTGCCTCTCCAGCCCTCACAGCCACTCATGTGGCTTCTGGTGGGACATAAACCACAACCAGATCCCACCTGAATAAAACTGTTCAGTGAAGGAGAACACAGCAAACCTTCACTGTTAGAGCTCAGCCAAACAGGCACAGCCTCCGTGGTGTGGCTTCTGGGCTTTAAACTTTATTTTAAACTGTAGGTGATAGTCATTTTTAGATGGTTCAACACTGAGCTTTGGGTCTCAGGTGGTATCTGGGGAAGCTGGGGGTGTCTTAACTCAGCACCCTGTGCTTTAGCTAGCACTGTGCTGGATTTGTATGGTTGAAGGAGGCATTGCCAAATGCATGATGGAAATTCAGTGCTCAAACACATTGCAAAATGTGGCTCTGAGCCCTCAGGGCTTGGACCCATCAGTTTGTTTTAAAAGGATGTTATTTTGCTTTCCAGCAGCATTCTCAGTGCTGGGAGAATCTCTTCTCAGGGTCCTTCATTCCTCCTCTTGGGGACTTCACTCCCATCCCCTGGGCACTGGCTCAAGGTGCAGTCCTGAGCAAACACTTCCCTCCCCATGCTCTCTGCTGAGCCACCGGAGCTTTCTCCTTGCCCCTGCACCTGGGCTGATGGTGAGAAGATCCTCTTGGCTCTACTTCCAAAGCACATCATTCCCTGCAGCGAGAGTGCATCTTCTCACGGTGCCAGGGGAAGGAGCTTTGGTACTGGGGGTCCTGAGGGGGATGCGGGCAGGGCGCTGACGGCTGGGGACAGTGGCAGGAGCACCGAGGGGCCTCGTTAGCAGCGGTGGCTGTGGCCTGACGTGTGTCATAAACCCTCAGCTACCCACAGTGGCAGGCACCGCTTCGTTAAGGGAGCAGGGCTGATGGGTGAGGCTGAAATTATGGAGATGTATTCAAATTTATGCAAATTTACTCTCTTCTGGGTTTTTCAGGAGGGCTTGTTGGCATATTCCATAAGGAAGCAGCTATTTTAAGTTTATTATATTTTGTTCTGGTTTCTGGAAGACATAATCCCTTCTCAAAGGCCTGGGAATTCATCATTAGGTGTATCAGAGCCCTGGCAAAGGGTGACAGGCAGTGCTCCCCCTGCCCACAGAGAGACCTCTAGTCCCGGGCAGTGCCAGCAGGCAGGGCACAGAACACAGCCCAGGCAGGAAACAAGACCATCTCTGTGCCCTTGGCTGCTGCCTTCGCTTTGCAAGCGGGATGGAGTTGGGGCTGGATGGAGATGTCACCATGCACACTTCTCCTGAGATGCCCCCCAGCAGGACTGGGGTTAAAAGTAACCTGCCTGGGCAGGAGCTTCTGCTGTGGCTTTGGCAGACACTTGGTGCTGGATGGATCGGTCACCAGTTGGGTCACAAAGCAGAGGCAGCCACCAGGTGCTGCAGGCAGTGGCTGACACTGGCAGGTTGGGAACACCCAGGTCCCACCACCCCATGGTCCTGCAACAAGTGCGCTGGTGCCGTGGCGTTACCGTGGTGTCCACAGCATCCCTGGGCCCTGCAGTGCTCCGTGCTGGAGGCCGTTGCACCAGGCAGTCCCTCACCCCAGCGCTGCCCCATGCAAGGAGAGGGCTCAAGGAGCCCCTCGCTGCTCGCCCCAAAGCAAATTGCTTCCCTCCCTGTGCCATTTTTGGGCCTCTTGCTCCGGGATCACGAGGGTTCTCCGTGGCCGCATCCCTGTGGTGTGTGCTGAAGGCGAGAGGCAAGAGCATCCCGTGGCCGTGTGCTAGGGGAGGGGAAAGACAACCCGCTGGCAACAGTGACCATGGCACAAGACGGTGGCAGGAGGGCAGCCTTCCCCCGCTAGCGGCAGAGGGCATCCGCTCTGCTTCCCCCCCGGGCACGCGG